GATTGCAGAGATAGAAAGCGATACGGACCAAGAGCTCTGGCCTTTCTCTCCCGTCTCACCGATGATGACGAAGCTGAAGGCTGCTCGCCGCCTGCAGGCTTTGCAGCCGGGACGTCAACTTCAGGACTGGAAACCCTGCTGTCTGACTGCGCGCACGCATTTGGTGTGTTGATTACATGTTCCTCATCCTGTAGAAAACTCTCTGTGCAGTGTCCGAAAACGATTCAAGTCTCTCTCAGTCGATGAATGCAACTCCAGTTTCTGCTGCAAATGCCTAGGTGACTCATCCCCGTTCACATCGGACAAATCCTCTTCTGCCTCAACAACACTGCAATCCATTCCTTCGTCCGGCAGCATGTGCATGGTCAGCGGACATTCCGATGCAGGAGCCACAGGGGGCGATGACCCGGTCTCAACCGAACCAGAAGTAGCTTCCCCAGACATACGGAAAGGCACAAATGCTCGCAGCGCAGTCGTGCACTGCGTGGACCACGGAAGAGCATGACCATCTGGAAAACAAGGTAATCGAGGCACTGCCAGGCGCTTCTCCAAGACATGGATGGCTGTCAGCAGAGCATGAGGAAGCGGTATTTGCTTTCTCACCACACGAAACCACATCTCTGACAGAACTCTACCAGACTGCCGGAGCTGGTGCCAATCGTATGCCGCGCGAACAGCCAGGCTGACTTCTTCTGCCAAGACATCCCCATGCATGTGTAATGCTAAGTGACATGGTGAAGATCCCACAAGTCTTCAGACGTCACTTCAGACCAAGAGGCACAACTGGGAGGCAAGCGCACATGCGCACATTTCAACAAAATCAAATATGTAAGAGCAAGAACCAAGGGGTCCATGAGCACACGGAAAGTTTGGGTTTCAGCCAATGGCTAGCGTGTCACTATGTAGAGAAACGGTGTAAAAGAAACCATACCAAAACCAGCAAGCAGTTTCAGCCATCTTGATCCAGCAGCAACCCTCTTGAATTATGATAAGCCAGTTACAATTTGTATTTATCTGCGTTAGAAAACATGAACTATGACTACTTAAGAAACAACCATGATTTTTATAATTGATCAAACCATTATTTAGGAATCATGAAAAATGCATAATCTCCACGCCGATCCATGCTGCCACGGCCCAGAAGCTGAGATGCGCACCTGACATGGCGTACCCAATGAGCTTTGGAACATTAAACCCAAATCAAGTCATCGAATGACGCATCCAAATGTTTTTAACAAACACTGATACCCAGGTAAACAGAGTATATCGACCAATACAGCCCCAGGGAACTTGTGTCACCCCACCCCAACCCCAACGGGCAGCGTAAGATCATCCGCGTACCATGAACGTTACCATCCCACCCCACCCCACCCCAACCCCAACGGGCAGCGTAAGATCATCCGCGTACCATGAACGTACCATACGTTAACATCCCACCCCACCCCACCCCAACCCCAACGGGCAGCGTAACATCATCCGCGTACCATGAACGTTACATCCCACCCCACCCCACCCCAACCCCAACGGGCAGCGTAAGATCATCCGCGTACCATGAACGTTACCATCCCACCCCACCCCACCCCAACCCCACCCCAACCCCAACGGGCAGCGTAAGATCATCCGCGTACCATGAACGCTACCATCCCACCCCACCCCACCCCAACCCATGTCTCTGAAAAACTAGCAAATTCCCCGGGGCCGTATTGGACGACGTCAGCAAAAACAAGAAATCAATATCAATAAACAAAATATGGTTTATATTGATTAGAATCAATAACCGATGCCCAGGGTCTAGTTGGTTCAATTCTTTCAAGAATTCGATGCCATGCCAAAGCTGGGACATGGAAGACAGACCACACGCATTTGACCGCCAGAGCCTGGGCAAAGCCCAGGCGAGCGCTAGCTGTTTCCCACTTCATCTCAATTCGCAGCCGGAGCAGGGAAAAGACATTGTTAGCTTTGGCGAGTGCAGGACAATTGGACAACAATTGGCTGATTTTGTTCAGATTCTGGATGGGACTCCTTCAGTGCGATTCCAGATGATTCAAGACACGATTTATTAAATTTAGGAAACCAGGTCAGGTGAAGGATTTCCACCTTGGACTAAACTCAGACACATGCTGTTTGATGAGGATGATTGATGGGCACATGACATCATGATCCCAGCTGTTGGCAAGGTGAAAGTAAACCATAGTTTCCACGTATATCACACCTTGCGAAGTCAAATGTGATTGGATGAGGATAAGGACCAAAATGGCGGGTGCTTCTCATGAGTTGACTTGCAGAAACTTGGCTCCCAAGGGTCGGTTTGCAAAACAGTTCAACATGCAGGAATCCAAAACCAACGAGCATAGCCTCACATTCACAACTGCGTTTGGGACATCGTCCTGGCAATTGAAGGATGTTCAATGTGCATGCCCAATGTGCACCTCGAAAAGTGTGAGAAAACATCACAGATCTTCACGAGTTGGTGAGATCGGCTTTGCAACGCACATTGGGATCGTGCAGCTGATTTGCAGGCCTGACATACCCCGAACCGATCTGGAAGATTATCCAAAAAGTGGATGCACATGTTTCCACAGCGTGATTTTTTCTATGGTGTTTGATGTTTGCCTCATTTGACAATATTTTCAATGATCTTTGTATAGCACTCACTCACTCACTCACTCACTCACTCACTCACTCACTCACTCACTCACTGTCACCTCACTCACTCACTCACTCACTCACTCACTGTCACCTCACTCACTCACTCACTGTCACCTCACTCACTCACTCACTGTCACCTCACTCACTCACTCACTCACTCAATCACTCACTCAATCACTCACTCACTCACTCACTCACTGTCACCTCACTCACTGTCACCTCACTCACTCACCTCACCTCACCTCACCTCACCTCACCTCACCTCACCTCACCTCACCTCACCTCACCTCACCTCACCTCCTCTCTCACTGTCACCTCACTCACTCACTGTCACCTCACTCACTCACTGTCACCTCACTCACTCACTGTCACCTCACTCACTCACTCACTCACTCACTCACCCACTGTCACCTCACTCACTCACTGTCACCTCACTCACTCACTCACTCACTCACTCACTGTCACCTCACTCACTCACTCACTCACTGTCACCTCACTCACTGTCACCTCACTCACTGTCACCTCACCTTACCTCACCTCACCTCACCTCACCTCACCTCACCTCACTGTCACCTCACCTCACTGTCACCTCACCTCACTGTCACCTCACTCACTCACTGTCACCTCACTCACTCACTCACTCACTCACTCACTCCACTCACTCCACTCACTCCACTCACTCCACTCACTCCACTCACTCCACTCACTCCACTCACTCCACTCACTCCACTCACTCCACTCACTCCACTCACTCCACTCACTCCACTCACTCAACTCACTCCACTCACTCCACTCACTCCACTCACTCCACTCACTCCACTCACTCCACTCACTCCACTCACTCCACTCACTCCACTCACTCCACTCACTCCACTCACTCCACTCACTCCACTCACTCCACTCACTCCACTCACTCAACTCACTCCACTCACTCCACTCACTCCACTCACTCCACTCACTCCACTCACTCCACTCACTCCACTCACTCCACTCACTCCACTCACTCCACTCACTCCACTCACTCCACTCACTCCACTCACTCCACTCACTCCACTCACTCACTCCACTCACTCACTCCACTCACTCCACTCACTCCACTCACTCCACTCACTCCACTCACTCCACTCACTCCACTCACTCCACCCACTCCACCCACTCCACCCACTCCACCCACTCCACCCACTCCACCCACTCCACCCACTCCACCCACTCCACCCACTCCACCCACTCCACCCACTCCACTCACTCCACCCACTCCACTCACTCCACTCACTCCACCCACTCCACTCACTCCACTCACTCCACTCACTCCACTCACTCCACTCACTCCACTCACTCCACTCACTCCACTCACTCCACTCACTCCACTCACTCCACTCACTCCACTCACTCCACTCACTCCACTCACTCCACTCACTCCACCCACCCCACCCACT